CCCTGGCAAACCCTTACTTCTTCAGGGAGCTCGACAGCAACGGCAATGGCAGCCTGGATTTCTGGGAAGTGCTGACGCTTTACTACATCGTCAAGAGTGGTCGGCCACTGTGTGGGATCCTCGTAACCGGGACTTTCTTCTCGTGCGTGGAGTGCTTCGACAGCCCAACCGGTGCTTACAGCTTGTGTATCTATTGTTACAGGTCGAATAAGAGTGACCACAATCATGTTACATTATGGCTAGGGTTTGACTTTAGGTATACAAACATGGAGTTTTATATATTTTGGGAAGAGATGCTGAAATGATCGGAAGGGCAAATAAAGTCAACTCATGCATGATGTCTAGCTAAATTACAAAAAAATTAATTTTTTTTAAAATAAATAAATATTAAAAGAAATAAAAAATACTTATGTATATTAATTATATATGAAATTGTAGTGATGTCTAGGTTAACAGTTCAAATAAAATTACTTCATCCATTTTCAAAGAAGTGTCGTATAAGGTTCCATTTATGTACAATACTAAGTACTAAGTAAGAAAGTTAATATAGGGGTAATATGCTAGGACACAAACTTAATTTGAAGTAGATGACAACATCAAATAAAATATCTTAAATTATAAATCATTAGTTCAAAATAAAATTTGACTCACATCCTTTTATTTTTGTTTAATCCGAAAATACCCTTCATATAAATAATAAAAGATTAGGTTTATCTCTCATTCCTCTTATTCTCTCTTCTCATGGTCTTTTTTTTCCACTCGCTACACCTCAATCTTTTTTCTCTTCTTCTCAACCGTTCCACATCTCTCTCCTCTCATATTTTTGTCATCAGCCCATAACGTTCTCTCTCTCTCTTGCAAATCAATGGGTGCAAACCGAGGATACCACCACCACTATATATGCCGAGATGATCTGAAGATTTTGAGGATCCATCCAGATCCGTCGCCGAGCAGCAAAGTAGAGTGAAGGAGGGCCGGAGGCGATGCATAGATCTGAAGATCTCGGGGTTCTTGGAGACCTCGGCGACGGTGCGGTGGAGGGGGAGGGTGTAGAAGGGGGCAGCGGAGATGGGTCTATGGCGATGGTCGTGGTGGTCGTGGTTATAGATCAGGTGATGGTTATGGTAGAGGTGGCCATTGGAGATGGTGGTGAGAGGTTAGATCAATGGTTGGAGGCCATTGCATCAACTTAGGGTTTTTTTACGGCGCTAGGGTTTTGCTTGACGGCTAGGGTTGGTGGATAGAAGTTGGCGGCGGCTGTGATTTGTTTGCTCTAGGGTTTGCCGACGGCCGATAATTTTTTTTGATGCTAGGGTTTGGAATACTACGCCGTAGTAAACCATAGTATACTGTAGTAAACCATAGTACGCAGTAGTAAACAATAGTACACCGTAAACTCTAGTACATCGTAGTATATTATAGTACACCAAATTCTACTACAATATTATTAACAACAGATAAAATAAACAAAATATAAAAACATATGTAAATTGGATTTAAAAAAATAAAAAAAAAACATGTTTTTTTAATTTTCTATATTATATAGAAAAAAGAGGATTTTTGTTTTGTTTTATATGTGTAAAAAATTGCTTAAATGAAGAAATATAAAAGAAAAAAAGAAAAAAAGAAAAAAGAAGAAAGAAAAACGTGTCTTTCGTAAAAATAAAAATAAAAATAAAAAATTAAGATGGAAAAATGAAAATATTCCAGACTAAATAGATGATAAATGCAATATGAATTTTAATTAAAGCATATTTCAAATTTGTAAGTGGGGGGCATTTTTGGAATGAATATTGATGATGCTAAAATGTAGATCATCTGGGGTGGTGTAGAAAATGAACTGGGAGAGCAAAGCAGATCAATAGCTTGACAACTTGATGATCCTGAGGTACCTGCGAGATGAACACACGTGAACTACGCCGGGGGTTGATCCGGCGGAACCCCTCCGACGCTCAAGTCAGACGTGCTGATCATAGAAATGGTCCAGAGAATCCGTATTGTAGTACTGCTCAGTTCATAGGACGTACCTTAATAAAATGAGTAAAACCTCTATTTATATGTCGTTTATGGGGTTGGGTTTGCTTTGTTGGGCCCAAGCCTTACTAGAAGGTGTTTGGGCCTCGGGGATATTGGTCTTCGATATTGGGCTCGTAGCCCAGTAGGTAAAGAAATTGTAGGCCTATTGGGTTGGCCCAATTTGGCATATCATTAAGCCCCCCACTCTCGAGTCGATGTGGGGGCCATGTTGTGATGGGTCTCAGATCGTGTCGAGAGTAAAAATTGTAGAAGTTGATCGTTGGCGTATGGCCTGATGGTATGCGAAAACGCGTTGGAGCGTGTGTCGGAGGGGTGTGAATGCGCGTTGGCGCATAGCGCGACAAAGTTGCCGCGATATAAGTTAGTTGAGTCGTCGGTTTTGTCCCGCGACGATGTAGTAGCGATTTATCTCCTCGTGGGAGTTGTCTTGTCGCGGGGTAATAGTGTTGATCGAGTTATCTCCTCGTGGGAGTTGTCTCGCGATAATGTAGTAGCACGGATCAAGTAATCTCCTCGTGGGAGTTGTCTCTGGGGTAATCGAGTTGATCGAGTTACGTTTTCGTGGAAGTTGTCTCACGATAATGTAGTAGCACGGAGCTAGTATTCTCCTCGTGGGAGTTGTTATTTTTCGACATTTTCAATGTTTTGACGCGTTGCTTGTATGTGTTTACATATAGCGTTCTGCGTGATGTACTTGAGGAGGGGATCAGGCTCTCAAGATTTTTATATGGGGATCGTGCCCTTTGTTAGACCTCGTGGGTCGTAAGTATGTTTGGACCGTGGCCACGTTTTAATGAAGGACCCATCGTAAACAAGTAGATAAATTTGAGTAATCAAGCTGGCCAGGCTATGTAGATTCCCATAATATTTCTAAGTGTTTCTAGGGTCGTAATCGTGCTATCTTGAGCTTGCGATTATATATTGAATTTCGGGCGAGTTGTCTCCTCATGGAAGTTGCCTCGCAACGGGTTGTAGGATTGAGCGAGTGGACTCCTCGTGGGAGTTATCTCGCTGTAGTTTTGAGACTAGAGAGGGTTAGCTCCTCGTGGGAGTTGTCCCACAACGGGCTATAGGATGGAGCAAATGGTCTCCTCGTGGGAGTTATCTCGTTGTGGTTTTGAGACCAGAGAGGGTTAGCTCCTCGTGGGAGTTGTCCCACAACAGGCTATAGGACGGAGCGAATGGTCTCGTCGTGGGAGTTATCTCGCTGTGGTTTTGAGACCCGAGGGAGTTGGCTCCTCGTGGGAGTGGTCTTGAACGAAGTTGTAGGAGCATTGGATGATGCGCGATTTAGGCGCGTGTGGATTGAGGTTGCTCTGAGCGAGTTGTCTCCTCGTGGGAGTTGTTTCGCAGCGAGTCTTATTATCGAGCGAGGTGGTTGCACGTGGGAGTTGCCTTGCAACGGATTTGTAGTATCGAGCGAGTTAGCTCCTCGTGGGAGTTGTCCCGCTGCGGATTGGGGTACCAAGCGAGTTGTCTCCTCGTGGGAGTTATCTCGCTGTAAGTTGTAGTACCGAGCGAGTTGGCTCCTCATGGGAGTAATCTCGCTGCGGGTCATAGGATGGAGCGAGTGGTATCCTCGTAGGAGTTATCTCGCTATGGGTTCGTGGATCCGAGGGAGTTGACTCCTCGTGGGAGTTGCCTCGCAACGGGTTATATGACTGAGCAAGTTATCTCCTCGTGGGAGTTGTCTTGCTGCCGGTTGTAGTACCGAGCGAGTTGGCTCCTCGTGGGAGTAATCTCGCTGCGGGTCATTGGATGGGAGCGCGCGCTCCAAGGAGGCCTTGGGAGGCGCGCGCGCGTGCATGGGAAGGCGCGCGCGCGCGTGTGAGGTACTTTTCCCCTTTTTTTTTTTTTTTTTTTTTTTTTCTGACGCGCGCGTGCACAACACGCGCGCGCGTCGGGCGCGTGTTAGCCACGCGCGCGACTCTTCCTTTTTTTTTTTTACTGCTGATGCGCGCGTGCGCGCGTCAGGCGCGTGTCGGCCACGCGCGCGTGCGGTGCACGCGCGCGCGTCACGCGTGTT